TGTATATCATAAAGGGCTTCTATGAATCAATATTTTTTAAAACCCCACCTCTGTAGTATACTGAACAAAGGATAGGAAACAGTTAAAAAGAAATGTAAATTACTCCTAAGCATATGAGATATTCTTACCCCACTGAAGATAAATTACAAGTAATAGCTTATTGTAGTACCACTTTCACCCATCACACCAGGAAAACTGCATTTGCTAAGTTATACACTCGTGTCCTCTAACATGCTCAGAGTGACGTATGTTGGAGGACAGCTGAGTTTAACTATCCAAAGTGGCTTTATCTGCAATTCTAGAATCATGCAATACACACTTCCCTCCATAAGGCAGAGTAAAGCTTTTGGTCTTTTTAAATTCATTGTTTATTGGTACATTTTAGGTATACAATATGACATTCGTTTTTGGGAATTTGTACCTTTACATATCTTGGTTCTTATTTTTTCCCCATTCCGCTGCCCTCCCTTCCACCCCGCCCTATTCACAAAGACTTTGTTTCTGCTCTTTCCTTTTCTCCTATTTATTCCTTTCCCCTCCCCCTCCCGCTTGCCCTCCCCCTTTGGGCCTTTTTATTCCTATTTTACACTATCTATGCTACATTTTGTTCTATGGACAGAGAAAGGCTGCAGAAAACAAAAAACCAAAAAGCGATTGTTTGCCTTAAAGTCACTTTCTTTGTAAAAGGGCACAGGGAGACAAAACAATAGGAATAGAATTGACTTGTTAATATCAGGTTATTTCAGGTTTTTTTTTGTGTGAGGATTAATGCGGGGAGGGCAACGCACTACCACCTGGGGTACAGTGGGCCTGTTCGGGAGATTTGGTTCTCTAACCCTGGCTTCTGTAGAGGTCAACGAGCTTTGTATCAGTTTCAGCTGAACTTTAGCATAGCTCTGTTTTGATTTTAGCTTGTTCTGCTGGTGCTCAAGTTAGAGGTTTAGTCCAAAACAATGCCCTCCTGTTTATCATGTATGTCTAAGGATGTTCATCCATACAACGCTGTAATGCATGTACATAAATATATGCACCTGTTAAAAAGAATGAGTACATAAACAAAGCTAAGGATCTCCCAGATACATCAAGTGAACAGAAACCGAGGTTCAGAACAATGTATATCTAACATGCTACGGATGGGGTTCAGGACCTACTCATTCAAACTACAGCACCTAGGCATACTGAATTATTTTAAGTGAAGGAAACAGGAAATGGCAGAAACAGGAATGCTTTTCTGAACTTGCCCCCTTTTCCCCTGAAGGTCATAAAAACTTACAAAGAATTTTCTGACCTTTTCTCGAAGTTCGTAAGACCACCATGTGAGCAGTGTTTCCTGACACGTGGAAGAGATGAACGTCCTTACTGCCACAGACCAGGGCGGTCAGAGAGAATCTAAATAACAAACCTAAGTTTCATCCGGTTTATTACCATTAGATCAAACCCCCTTTTTGCCCTATCATATTTCTTCATTGAGTCTGCAATAAAAAAACTCGTTGAACTTTTGAGTATTTTTTTTATCATGTGGAACTTAGAATTTGTATGTTTTCTTTTGTTAATTTTGTTGTGGTCATTGTCACTAGGTAACCATAAATCTAAGATGGGTAGAAGGAAAGTTATTTTTCTCTCCTGCATGACAATTTGTTTTCTGAAAGATGGCTGAATGCATGATTGGTAAGATTCATACCCAAGAAAGAGGCCACACTGGTTGAGGGGGAAGGAATTGAGTATATGTTAACAGTGGCCTATGGATTACTGTATACCCTTACAGCATTTGAATTTTAAACACATAAACATAGTACCTCTCCCAAATCGTAGTATGATGCTATTTCTTTAAAGAATTTTTGTTGTTGTTCTCAAGTTGAAGAGAAAATATACACATGCTGTATTATAACATGACGGAAAGGTGAAGTGCCCCAGGAGAGGCACAGATGAACTTGTGTCCTGAGCGGGGTGGGAGGGAAAGGGCTGGTGGAGTTGGGCAGAAGGGTGGGCCTGTTTTATTTACACACACTTCCGGGGAAATGGAGTGAGTGTTCTAGTCTCCAAGTTCAGGTCATACTCAGCAGCACCTCGGCCCGCCCGGGAAATTTGGATTGTTCCCAAAGGGCACTGATGGCACGCTGTGATAGTCAAGGGTCTAACGTTACTAGTTAGAGGCTCAAGAGCTCACCACCCTCCTCTGTGACCTGCTCCACAGTAAATCAGCTGTGTTTAACACCACGGTGTGACAGCAGCAGATAGGTAATGCTTGCTGTTTCTAGCAAGCTCTAGTACAGATGGGAGACTCACCTTGGACTCTGCTGGCAGATTTGCCTCAGCTCCTGGGAAACCAAATTCATTTGTCCTCGTCCGTCTTCTTAAACGGTGAAGCGGACCTTTTAGATTCCTCCACCTGTGATACGGCCAGTGAATAAAGTCCCAAGGCAGCATCCAACTGGGGCTACATCAAAAGTTTTAGGTTTTTTTCTTCCAAAAAGCCAAATAATGACATGAAATTTAAGTTCAACAACTGCCAGAGTCATCCAGTTAACTGGTAAAGCACATGGAACCCTTCCACCTTTATTTTCCAAAATGGAAGAAAAATCTCAGGTAACCATTAACATGAGCCCTTTCCAGACCAACTAGAAGACAGTGTCTTGAACATACCATAACTTGAGAGGAAAAAAAGATTGTTATTGCCCAAATCACTAGTCTCTATTAAAATTTCTTTCTCTTTAAATGTAGTATTCGACTTACATTTCCCTCTGCTTTCTTGTTCTTACTCCCCAGGATCAATAACTACTGAATTTTGTGCTTGTAATTTCCAGTTGGTAACTTGTCTTTTGAACACTCACTGTAGCCTTGTTTTATTTTTAGTGGACAGAATTTCTTTAATACAGTCACACAAATCAAGTTTCTTTTACAATGAAATCTTTTGGTACTATTATATGTCTAAAAAACCCCACGACTGGAAAATTACAAGATACCATTATACATTTTCTTTCCACATTTGAAAATTTAAACAAAAGGGAATCAATCTTTGTAAATGAGGTGGGTCAGGGGACCAACATCAATTTTTTCCCCTTTATACGTTTACTGATTGTTCCTGAAGTTTCTGAACAGGCTTATTGCTTTAAATGGCGTTTCTGTCACACACCATGGTTCCATGTGCTTACTGGGATGGGTCTTTTGACTCTTCCGTTAGTCGGTCTACATCTCTCAGAACTTGAAGATCTGGTGAAGAAAGTCCCTTCCCCTTACCACATTGTTCTCCCCTGGCTTTTCTTCACCTTTACTTACCCTGGAATTAGTATGTGAAGTCTCACAAAAATAAGGCTGACATATTGACTGGAACTGCGTTGCACCCATAGATCAATACGGGAAGAAATGAGACCTAATAGTAGGCCTATAAATGTAGGGATCTCTATTTCCATCTTTATTGTTTTTCACTGTAATTGTGTAATAGTTTGCATATGGGTCTCATATGTTTTGATCCAATTTATTCATGTCTTTCATACTCATTATAAATGCCATATTTTAATGTTTTCTATGTATTTATAGCTGCTGTATAGGAGTGTATTTGATATACTTATCTTTTAGCTCAGCTGTATCTTAGAGATAAAATTATAGGTTCTTTTGAACTTCTACGTAGATAACTATCTGTGAGTAACGTAATCTTATTTTTACTTCCCAAATATGCTTTATTTTCTGTCATGTTGTATTTGCTGGAAACTCTAGTACAGTGTTGGGTAGAATCAGCAACAGAAGGCATTTTCTGGTTTTGTTCCTGATTTTAAAGGAAATGTTTTTAAAGTTCTTCCATTAAAAATAACACTTGCTATGGAATTTTTGTAGATATCTTTTATCAGGTTAAGGAAGTTCCAAGTCTGTTTCTATCTTTGCTTAGAGTATTGTTATTTTTTAAAATCATGAATATGAGTTGAATTTTGTCAAATTCTTTATTGTAATGACATGCTTTTCTCTCTTCAATTACTGTGATGAATGACAGTTTTAAACTTTCTAATGCTAATTCAATCTTTTTCACCTGAATAAACCCAACTTGGACGTGGGATTATTAATAGTTACACATTGGGATGATTTGATCCTTGCAAGGTTAGTAGAGTTCAACTGTTAAATTCTATGGCCCTGACATTTTAAATTATTGCTTCAATTTCTCTATTACAGGAAACATAAACTCTAATTTTTTTTGAGGCACTGTTAGTAAGTTGCATTTCTCTAGCAATTTGTTTCTGATTCATCTAAGTTTTCAAATGTATTGGTATGCAATGTTTATAGCACTATTTTATCTTTGACCCTTGATGGCATAAAGATGCCTTTTATATTCTTAATGTTTTTTGTCTTTTTGTTTGTTTTCACATCTATTTTAATAACCTTTCCAAAGAGCTGACTTGGGCTCTGCTGAACCTATTTTTTAAAAAATTTCATTGGTGTTTATCATCCTATTTTTTCATAGGTTTATTATTTGTTCTTTTCTATAATTATGATGGGTTTATTGGAGATATAAATCTTCTCTTTTTCATGTCAATCTGCCTCAGGTTTAAATATTACAACATATAACTGAATTGTAAAAATCCTCATCTAGCAAACATTTACTGTAAATACTGATATACTGCATTTTATGCTATTTCCTTTATCCTCCAATAATATGCCTTTGTCTCCCCCTGACACGTGAGGAATGTGCTTTTTATTGTTGATTACACATTCCCTTAATCAACTTTTTTCTATTGGTTGGATTATTTACTCCTATTCTCTAATGGTTACCTTTTGAAGGTAACAGGGAAAGATGTTACCAGAAATCCTGAAGTCTCCTGTGAGCCACAAGAGCACAAGGCAAATTAAAGAACAAAGACAGGAAACAAAATTTAGAGCAGAAGCTGGGCTCTGGGCCTGATCGATGTCACTCCAAGCAGTAAAGACTAAGGCACTCAAGCTCGCCACTATTTACTGGGCTCTTTACCAGATGACTGAGAGGGCAGTGGTCATCCTAAATTGATAAGGATCTTATAATTGGAAGAAGTATCAGGTGCCTCGGGAGGGTGGCAATAACCCTACGACCATGAGGAGCTTATGTTGATGAGGATGGTAAGATGACCAAAGACGTTCTTACAACAGTAGGTGGGATGAGTTAAGCTGATAAGGAATTTGTTCCAAGGTGAAACCTTTCTCTTACTACTCAGTTCTCAAGGAAGCAGGATGTCTTCAGCCAATGCAATATTTCCTTTGAGTGTCACGGCATCATTGGACCACTGAGATCTCCGCTGTGACCAGAGGCAAAAATGGAGTTGTTTCAGCATGTCATAGCTGGCCTACAGGCAAGACTAGGTGTACTCATAATTATGAAATAATTTCTCCCCAAAATTATGTAGAATGACTCCTGACAACTCTTGAAATTTTTCCATGTGTATTTAGGCTCTAGTGTAAATATATTATTAAACTCAATTTTATGAATTTAGAATACACTAAATTAACTCTTCTGATACACACACTCAGTATGTTTCATCCTTTTTTACCCCCACTAAACAATATACCTTTTTATTATACAAACATCAGTCAAAATTTACATACATTTGCCATTTTATATCCTTGCTATATCCTGCATCTGATTGTCCTGGAGTAATTTTCTTTCAGAAGTCCTTTATTGCAGATTAATTGGTGGTAAACTCATTTCCTTTTCGAATGTATAAACATGTATCTTTATTTCTTTCAAAAAGTTTTACTGGGTACAAAATTTTAGTTTGATAATACAGTAATAATCTTTCAAGTGTCTCTTGGCTGCCCTAAGCTAGAAGTTGGCTGTGTGGCCTCTTTGTTGCACAGTATCTTTCCCTGGCTGCTTTCCAGGTTTATTTTGGCACTCAAGAGTTTTTAGTATTTCTAGGGTAGGTTTATCTTGACGATTTGTAGTTTTTTTTAAAACTTTCAGCCATTATTTATATACTGCTTAACCATTCTATTCACTCCTTTGCAGGAATTCCAGCTAGACATTAGACCTCATCTTTTCCTATTTCTCATGACATTTTCCATTCCATTGTCTGCTACATTCTAAGAAATTTCTTCAGAACTGTTTTCCAATTCAGCAATTTCTTCTCAGATACAATTTTTCATTATTTTTTTCATTTCAAAAACAATTAACTTTATTTCTACATTTTTTTTTTGTTCTCCTAATTATGCCTGCTCATTTTAGTTACTGCTTGCTCATCACAAATGAGCCGAGATGTAGCACTGCATGCTACATCTGATGGCTCCAGGATCTGCAACCCTTGACGAGCAAGTCTGGTATTTGCTGATGCTGCTCTCAGGATGTTCCACCTTCTCTTAGGCTTCGTATATCAATGGGCTTCCTGCCTGATGTTAATAGGTGGGAATTTTGGAGAATTATATTGGGCAAACGTTCCTTAAGACACAGTAGCTGTCTGACCATTTCAAGGAGGTGTCACCAACCCAGAACTATGTTAGCCCCCAAGAGGATGAAGTTTCAGGTTCAGGCTCTTATCTGCCACACCTCTCCTTCACAAAGGCAAGGATTTTAGTTTCAGAATGTTATTTTAAAAAACACTTATTTGGAGCTGCATCTTTTCTTTAAAGGGTCACACAGTAAGGGTTTACAGACATAAAATCGTAATTACTCAATTTGGGCTCTATTCTAGTGAAACTTTTTACAAAAAAAGATGACAAGCCAGCTCTTCACAGGAGATCATAGCTTGCCAATGTCTTGATTCAGTCAGTGTGTTTTAGCGATTTGCTAAATAGCACTTCTTTTTCGTTCAACTTCGTTTTTCTTATTGAAAAACATCCTGTAGTACTTACAAGTGATAGGCTTTGGATCTGTTACAAATACGACTGCAGTCATGGGCCGTTATTAGCCAACTTAATAAGTGTGTTCCGACTGCTCCTCAACCAGCAGTTTCCTCCTCTTCTCAGGGTTCTCTACTCCTGAAGAGGCCAATAAACAACCCTACAGTTTTTTGTCACTGGGGATTGAGCCAGAGCCTTTGTACTGATGTTATGATTAGCATATTCATTTCAAAACATTTTATTACAGTGAAAGACACACTGCCATTACTGGCTCTCAATACAGCACCTTCCCGCTTCTCACACACTTCTTCCACTGTTCTTCACACTTTCTGAAGCATTTCTGCAAATCTTTCATGTTTTTAGTTGCACTGTGGTGGCTGCCGTGATGGCCTGAATCAATTCAAAACAGTATTTACCTTTTATAGTTTTGACTTCGGAGAGGAACCAGAAGTTACACAATGCTAGATCCAGTGAGTAAGGTGGATGGATGGACACACTGTAAGGTTTTTATAAGCTTGCCTTTTTGCTGGTAGCACAGCAGCATTCACTGCATTTTTAAAATTGAATCGCATAAACACATTCCTGAAAGAGAGCTTCCAGAACTGCTGCAGAAAAATGGCAAGAATGATGGTGTGTTCAAAGCAAAGGGGAGGATTCTGAGGGAGATTAATGGCAGTGTCTTTTACTGTATTTATTTATTTGTTCGTTTGTTTGGTACCAGGGAACGAACTCAGGACCTTGAACTTGTGAGGCAGGAGATGCTTTTACTGCATTTTAAAAAATGTAAACATTCACCACACATCTTCAGTTCACTTCTCCCCCCAGATTTCTGAGACAGGGTCTTGCTAACTTGCCCAGGCTGGGCTTGAACTATCTCAGCCTCCCAGAGTGCTGCAATTACAGGTTTGTATCATCATGCCTAGTCTCTCAATTTAAGTCCAAAGCTAGCTGTGATCAATGTATGTGCTGAAGTGAGCACAAGCTAGATATAATTAAAAGAAGGCATGTCAAAAGCCAAGATAGGCTGAAAACAGTTAAGCTTTGGAGATGCAAAGTTTTGAACAAAATTAAACATAGTACTCTAGTGAATAAATGATAAGGAAACAAAAGAGCCTTATTGTTGATATGGATATTTTAAAAGTCTGGATAGATCAAACCACAACATTCCCTTAAACCAAAGCCTAATCCACAATAAGGCCAAATTCTCTTCAATTCTATGAAGGCTGACATAAGGAAACTGCAAAAGAAAAGTCTGAAGCTAGCAGGGGTTAGTTCATGAAGTTTCAGGTAAGAAGCAGTCTCTCCACAACATAAAAATGTAAGGCAAAGTGTCAAGGACTGATAGAAAAAAAAGCCACTCAACCTTATCCAGGAGATCTAGCTACACTAAACAGATTTTTGATGCAGGTAACAGTCATAGATAAGATGCTGCCTAGGACTTTCATAGCTGGAGAGAAGTCAACATCAGGCTCCAGAGCTCAAAAGACGCCGATTCCTGTGTTAGGAGATAATGCAGCTGATGGCGAAACAGAAGCCAATGATCATTTACCAAGAGCTCTGGCAGACATGCATAAGAAAAGTCATGTTGTTTTCATGCCTGCTAATATAACATCTGTTCTTTATCTCGTGGACCAGGGGATAATTTTGACTTTCAAGTCTATGACACACACTACTGATAATTATTCCTTTGATGGACTGG